GAAGGGAGCAAGGGAGGAAGAGTCGTTCGGTCGCGGGGAGAGACGTCGTCGAAGGAAAGCTCATAACAAACTATTGAAAAGCCGACGAATGAAAAATCAATGGCGAATGGTGGTGGTGGTAGTGGTGGTGGTGCTGGTGGTGGTGGTGGTGGTGGTGGTGGGCACGAGCCGGACCGGACCAGGGACGGATATATACAGGGTGGTCGGGGGTGGTTTGGTGAATGGAATATTATTGGGGCATCCTTTCACGCGGACTCGACGGAAGCTAGAAGACCTCATCTGGCGGGCTGTATGGATGCCGTTCGCCCCGGCAATGCCGCCTATTGAACCGTCCTTTATACATACATACATATATGTATACCTAGCGAACTCCGTTAGTAAATACTAATACGCGGGTGTTCTTGTACGCACGCTTCGTAAGTGTGTACACGCGCCATCTTCGAGTGTGCCAGGGGGTTACGTTGGAAGGCACCCCAATACATACAGGTGTGCATCAACTATGGTTGAATGTGGGTGAACGCGTAACTCGCGTTGCCTGCATCATTCGTGTTAGCAGCACGTACACGAACGTATCCGAACCTGTGTCGGATTCGTCGCGCGTACGTGTGGGTTCTTACATTTCATGATTTATCACGCAGCTTTCAGCGGGCCTCAAAGCGCCCTGAAAGCGCGCAGATTGATAAAAGAAATAATAGAGGACGCGAAATAGAGGGACTCGATCAGATAGGAGAAGAGAGCGCGAGGAGAAGGGTGCCACCACCACCACCACTAACCACTACCGAGGGTTGGATTTGGCACGAAGCAGAGAAACGACGACGATGACTAGGAGTTGGAGAAGCAAAAGGAACAGGAGGGTTATAAGGATTCTCTCTCCGTCCCTTCAAACAGAAACCCTCCTCCATCCTTCCGATTCGTTTTTTTTCTCTTTTGCTCGCGAACACACGCGACACAAGTTGTACTTCCACTTTTTGCTAACGTTCTACGATAAACGTTTCCCTTCCTTTTTATTTATTTTTTCCCCTACATATGCTCCAGTGAATTTAATTCGATTTCTCCATGAGATATATATATACTCTTTGCTTTTAAAGATTTATAATTTATATATTTCATATGCCAATGCGTGTATTATTAAACGAAGTTAAAAAAATCTAATCTAATCTAATCTAATCAAAGACGATACACTTTAGTGGCGGTTAGAAAGAAGACAAAAATTTGGATAGGGGTTGGACGAAGCGATAGGGTAAGGAGGGGGTGGTCGAGAAACGATAGAAAGTTGCAAATGGGATGAAAGCGTAGGCGAGAGATGGCAAGGGACGCGGAGAAAGACAAAAGGGGGAGGTAGAGAGAACTGTGAATCTCGTGGCAGCATTGTCACTCCATTCGCTGGGGTTGCAAAGTCGGGGGCGGTTCCGACGCCACCACCACTGAGCATAGTTACCACCACCACTAGGAACATCGCTCCCTACCACCACTACCATTATCTACTACTACCTCTACCATCACCACTTTCAGCTTCGTCCGCGACCAACACCGCCAACGCCAACGCCAACGCCAACCCCACAAGCTAATCTTGTTTTACTGCCACCTTCCGGATTCTCCTCTACCGAATCGACCGAAGCAGTTAATTACTCGTTAATTTACTCTTTCATCGCGTTATAATAATTCTCGGTGTATATCGATAACTCGGCATTGGCTGTCGATATTTGTATTGCCATTCCATGTCGATACTAGTTGTTGTACTTTGTGCAAGTATTCGAGATCGTTTCGAAGGATAATAATGTTTTCTTAACAAACAGATTCATTCGAGAAAAGATGTTTTTTTTATTTTTATTTTTAATTCAATTCTTTCGTTTCATATATTTAACGAAGCAATAGGATCATTGAATTATAATAGGTAAAATAATGTAATAACGATATGACGAATAATTGATAAAGTTTGTTTTTATTTGTTCACATTAAGATACCTTAAGAATAATTATGAATAGATTTTGAAGCTTGAGTATGAATATAGTATTTCACTTGTGTGTCTAACATCATGCTTATTGTAAGCTATTCCGCAAGAGGATTCACCCTCCGTATCATTTTAACGGCAATAAAATTTTTAATCCCTTATGCTAGGGAAGAAGGAAGGAAGGGTCTTCTTCGTTTGGTATGGAACGACGAGGAGGGTGACTTTGTACTTCTTGCATTATATAGTCATCAACCCCTTCATTGGGGGTAGTCATAACGCGTTCCAGAAGGGTTCGATTTGAACGAGCGATTTATCATTACCCCGATAACCAAACAACGATAAGGCGCTCGCGAACCAACCATCCCCGTTTCTATATACCGGGAAGTAGGGATGTATGATTTACTATTTCCTCAGCGCATCTGTTCGCTCAATTAACACCATACCGATGCCATTTCGAAGATATCGGTGAAAGGTCGTCAGGAAAAGCGGTCAAACGTATCTAACATAAGTCTGTCTGACTATCCCCCAAACTATTTTCTATACTTATCTCACAAAATAAAAAAATAATATACATTTTATACATATTTCTTATGCATAAATCAAATATCTTGCAATCTTAATTGAATCAAGAGTATCTGTCTTCGGTAAGAGATTTAATTAGGAAAAATAAAAAATCATGTTAATAAATAAATCATTCCCATAGATTTTATGCACGAGAATGTAAACATATCCCAGAGGCATTTGACCGACTGGATTAAAAAAAAAAACAAAAGAAAGAAAGCGAGAGGTCGACGTTTGGCACGTGCTCGTTTGGGGTAGCATTTTCGTCGAGGTGGGTGAGTGTAAAGTAAAAGTCGTTTAAATAATGGGGGCTGGTGGTCGTGGCGTATTTTTGGGAAGAATTTGTGTGCGAGCTAGCTGCTCTAGTATGTTGCGGTACAAGTGGTGTTGCTAGTGTTAGTGGTGTTGGTGGTCCGTATTGGTAGAAGAGGCACGTGCTTCGTAGAGTGCTTACGCAGGCACAGCATATTGTTCAGTCAGGCTCCGAGGAGGAGAGAAGCGTTAGAGCCCGAGGCAGGCAAACTAAAACGGGGGTGGTGGTGGTGGTGGTGGTGGTTGTGGTGGTTATTCAGGGGCGTGGAGTCGAGCGGATGATGCGTGCACTACGATCTACCCTTTCACACGATGACAACGACAATCAGAAAAAAAAAACAACAAATTTTTCCGATCTTCTTTTTTACCCCCATTTTTTCTTTTTTCTTTTTTCATTTTTTTTTTTTATATATTTCCCTTTTATCCTTTTTTTCCGTTCTTAACATGTATCGATCACATCATCGTTCGCTCGCGGATTGTTTGTCTTTTGGAATGTATTGTCCCCGGGGGTTGTTTTATTTTATACATAAAATTGCATATATATATTTGTTTGATTATTTATATTATATAAAATTGATATTATTTCAAAACATTTGTTTGTAAAAATTATTACACGAATCGCATTGAAAATATGAAAATAATTGTTTAATTTTCTATAACTAGAGGAAAATTTCTAACCGCGTTCGAGGTCGCGAGTTTGCAGTAACACGCAGTAGTAGTTCGACCATCCTGAATAATCCATTCGTAGGGGAAAATACGAAGGAAGATGGTGCACAATAGCCAGCCGCGTCTATTCGTTTACTATCTTGGCTATCTTCCTCCCTCTCTTTGTCGCATGGACCGCTCATTGTGACCGCGAAGCGGCATAGTCAGCTATTATGTTTATTAAGTTGGCAGGAGTAAAGACGAGGTTGGTAGTTGTATTTGATATGGTTATAGTGGTGGTAGGGGTGGGGTGGGGGTGGGGGTGCTTTTGATAGTAAAAGAGGAAGAGAGAAGAAGAAAGAAAGGAGGGTGGACGATGGGTGGGCGAGGTAGGGTGGTGGTAGTAGTAGTAGTAGGTGGGGGTAGAGAATATTCGTATAGTACATACGTGCAAAGTGTCGAGAGAAAAAGAAAGAATGAGAAAGAGAAAGAGAGAGAGAGAGAGAGAGAAAGAAAGAGATAGAAGTATATAGAAGAACGGAACAGTAGATGAGAGAAGTCAGTTATGGGCAAGAGAGAAGGTGAAAGAGGGTTGGATGGTTTAGAAGCAAGCAGGGGTGTATTGTTCCGAGCATTGTCTGCCCCATTGTGTGACATCACGGCCCGATAACTGCCGATAAGGCTGTACCAGTGGTTTCTCGTTGGTGTGCGTATACCCCTCTCTTTCTCTCTTTATTCCTATACGCGTGCACGTGCTTTAAATCCGACAAGTGCATTCTTATGTGTGCTGCGACTTACACGAAGAAAGAATAAAAAAAAAAGAAAGGAAAAGGAAAGGAAAGGAAAGGAAGAAGATGAAGGAAAAGAGATATAAAGATATAAAAGAAATATAATGTATGTATAAGCTATCGAACCTCGTGCTTGTGACAGCAACGACGACGACCAACTACGAAAGACGAAGACGAGTAAAAAAAAAAGAAAAAAGGGAGGTCAAGAGTGTTCTCCCTTAAATTTTCTTTTTTTTTTTTTTTCTTAACGACGTACCCTCTTCCATATCGTTTTCTATCTTTTTTTTTATCAGGATTCAGATCATCGTTTAATCGTCAAATATAACATTTATTTTTCACCTTTTTATCAACGTCTCGTTACGATGAACGGATCAATCCTGTTCTATTACATACGTTATGTTACACTAAGTAATATTAAATAAAAAAAGAAACATAAAAAATACATACTTTCGGGGGTAACTCTAATGTTTGAAGATTAGTATACTTATATTAGTAATAAATTGATACGAATCCTTCTCCGTATGTGTTTGGTACATTTATTTCAAATATACCATAATCGAGAGAGATTTCAAACGTCGCGCATAATTTTATACTCAATATATATATATATATATATATATTTATTTGTATGCATACATAGATACATACGTGTAGATATATATATTTCTAACATAAGTATAATATTTCCAAGCGTGTTCATATACTTAATACCTGGTCTCATTAGGACGCGATTTCTGTTCCAGGTGCTCGAGTCTCAGAAGCTCTGCGGCGCGGTAAGTGGCACTTTTGCCCTTTTCATAGCAGACGTTGCCCGCGGGTGAGTAAGCGCTTAAATTCGTGTGCTACCGACCGTTCAGGATATAGAAAAAAAGAACATGGAGGTGGACTGTGACGGAAAAGAGAACGTTATCGAGAAGAAAGCAGTTCCAACCAACCAACCCCCCTTCTTCCTCGTTTCTTTTATTCTCTTTTTTTCCTTTCCTCTCTCTCTCTCTCTCTCTCTTTCTCTCTTTCTCTCCAATCTTTTCTAGCATTTCCGCGTAAACCTTGACATCCGTGCTGCACGCGGACGTAACGCTCGTTTCTTTCTTCCGCTTTCGTTGAATGATTATCTAAACCTACTATGAGCTAGAGGTTTTTCTTTCCCTCCCCTCAAACGATATGAATAACAATCGAAAACTATTTCGAACGGATGAAACGCGAGCGCGTGCAATGCCCATATAAACACGCGCACACACGTGTGTGTGTGCGTGTGTATCTATGTGTATACGATGCTTTTTACAAGCGTCCACATTTTTATGTTAATCGGCCAATCGAGCGAGCGAGCGGAACGCCCCCGCCAACTTTTTGGCTCCCCATTTATTATGGTGCGAGCCGAAACTCTCACCGTTTCAATTTGTTCCGCGAGAAACGAACGAGGATAAGAGGGGGGAAGCGGGGTTATTGGACAAAGAGAAAGAGAATAGACACCAGGGGTTGTCTGTCTTTTTTTTTCCTTTTCTTTTATATTTTTTTTTTTCTGCTCGGCAAGATTTTTTTCCAGGGTAATGGGAGCAGCAAACATTAGGGTGTTTCGAGTTTACGTGTTAGGAAACTTTTATGTATGAACGAAAGTGTGTCCCTTATGATTAATAATACTCTTATGAACTATGCGATATCGTGTGTTATAAGATTGTCTCTTAGCCATGTATGCGAACTATGTATTCACATCGAATGTTTCAAAAATGGGGACGATGGTTCAATTCCTTTCCACGGATTCATTCGTTTTACACTTTTCTTTTTCCTACATTTTGCGACGAATTGTATTGGCCAGAAAAATAGAAAAAGAAAATAAAAAAATAAAGTACGGGGAATGGGGGGACGGGGGTCCTAGTATATTCTCGTACAAAATGTAAATTTCTTTTTACATCGAAGCAACTTCGGTCGTGTTACGGTTTGGTGGTATCAGCGCGAGTTTTAATTTCAGTACGAAGAAAAGCATTTGAATGCCTTCACCCCTTCCCCCTTATCATCCCCCTCTAGAAGTATGCTCGGCTGGTCACTTATTCACTATGCCATTCAAACGTGGATTTCTTCTTTGGCGTGTCTGCTGCTGTCGGTTGGTTCCTTCTTTCTTCTTTACTCTTTCTTCCTTTATTTATTTATTTCTTTCTATCTATCTTTCATTCTGTTTCTCTTTCTTCTAACGCAGGCCCGTTAGTCGGCATAGAAACTAAAGCCGATCGTCGAATTCTCCTTCTGTAAGTTACAACATCCCATCCCCCCGTTCGTGTATTAGGTTTGCTATATTATCATCTACACATAGTTAGATATATATGTATATAGATACACATTGGTAAAATGGTTGAATGTAAATGCGCATTAAACTAACGCGCACGTGCGATCCTTCGCTTCCATCATTCGAAATCGCTCGTCTTAAGGGCATCATGCTTGTTGCCGGTAGAGAACGTCTATACGAAAGAAAGAGAGAGATAGAGTGAGTGAGTGAGTGAGTGAGTGGGAGTGCGAGAAAGGCGAAAAGAGATAAAGAAGGAGAGGTGGGGAGAGGGGGGGGTGTAAGAGAGTGAGATAGAAAGAGAGAGATAGAGAGAGAGAGAGGTGCGGCAAGCCGTTTTGTGCGCGCCGCGCAAAAGATGCCTTTGAATCCTTAATTCCCTTTGAAACTCTCATTCTGGCAGCAAAATGGCGAGAACGAGCCGTATTCTTCGGCTGAATGACGTATTGAGCGAGTTTTGTATGCCGTTGCGTCCGCGTATGGCTCATCCACGGCCCATACTCGCTTATACGATACGTAATACGTTCTTTATTTTCTACGTTAGTCGATGTTTCACCAAGTAGGAAGGTGCCACTGCCCTTTCTTTCTATCTCCCTATCTCTTTCTTTCTCTCGCACCATTTTTCCTATTTCTTTCTATTTCTTTGCTTTTCTTTCATCTTTCCCTACTTTCCCCTGCTTTTTTGTTTTCTCCCATTTTTTTTTTTTTTTTTTTTGCGGAGATATGCATTCGCGTTCTTCTTCTTCCACTTTTAAGGCGATAATTCAACAGCAGAGGTGTTTACGGTTCATGTTGTAAACATATATATATTTATATAAAATTCTTTGACGATGCATCGCTACGCGAGAACGAAATTTCTTCGAAATCTATCGACTAAATTAAAAATTATTCGAATTCCTTAGCAAGTATTGTTGCATTTTATATTTGCATAGTCGTATTATTATTTTATTATTCTTTATTAAACAGTGCTCGATGACCATTTCGCGATGAGAAGGAAAAAAGAAAAGAAAAAGGAATACTTTGAAAAACGTATTGAAATATATTTATTAGGAGTATAAAGAAGAAAACGTGGCACGATAAGATAGAATGCAAGGAAGTATACTATAACTGAACAAAAAGAGACACTTTCGTTAGTATAGTGCGTAGTAGCTTGCTAGAAAGTTATGTTAGCTATTCGGCCAGAAGAATAAGGGGGAAAAGTAAGAGCAAGAAAAAGTACAAGAAGAAAAAGAAGAAGAAAAAGAAGAGAAAGAAAAGAAAGAAAGAAAGAAAAGGAAGACGAAGTTCACATTATCGGGCAGCTTTCTTGCGGATACAATTTCCCAACACAATTTTCTTTTCAGTCGAATCCACCGTCCGCGTTGGGCGGTGGAAGTGGGTGGCAAATGGCAAAGTGAGAGAGTTAGATAAAAAGAGAGAGAGAGGGAGAGAGAGAAGGAGAAGGAGAAGGAGTAAGCGAGCGAGGGGGTGGATGGCGGCAAAGATGGAGGGAGAGTAGTGCAGCCCATATTCGTGCATTGTGGCACGTTCCATCGCGTTCTCAACTGAACTGAACTCGACTCAACAGTGGAGGACACAATGGGCGGTATGAATAAGTATAACAGACAGACACCGGTACAGACAGACACAGGTAGCTCGGGCCGCAGTATGTGAATGAGGAACCCATTTGATAACACGCCTCCACAGCCACCCAGGTCCATTGTGTCGCTTCCTATTCAGCTGCTCTATGCCCTCTCCTCCTCCTCTCCCCATTCCCTCTGACTCCTGTGGCCCACCCCTCCATCACCACCACCTCCACCTTCTTCTCCCCCAACTCCTACTCCCCCACCCTCCTTTCTCCCTTCTTTTCCTTCGATATCACCGCGAAAATCTTGTCCTATCTTGTCCTATGTTCGTCGCGCGTTACGCACACACGTTGGTCTCTAGGAAAAATAGCCTGAACGCGTCCGATCCTAAGATCCGAAGGCATTTCCATGGAACAATCGCAAAAAGATAAGTGAAGATACGTATAATGCGTATTTGAATGTGTGCATGTACGATGAAGAGAAAATTTCGAAGGATACCGCTCGTTTCCCGTTGGACTCGGTGCAGTTCATCTCTCCGCACCACACCGCACCGCACCGCACCGCATTGCATTGCATCGCATCGCATCGCATCGCATCGCATCACGACGATGTGGCTGCACCATCTATATATTTACGTGAGTGTGTGTGTGTGTGTGTAGCTTGTACATCGGCTACCGACAACAATGAGCCAGAGACAAAGGCTACGTACAATGCTGATGTTGAACTCGACTGATTTCGACGATTTTTGGCCTTTGCATGTGCATCGCGCGTTACTCGACAATGATTCCCGCATACGTAATCATCGCTATGGGCACGCTACTACCCTGGTGCACTCACGAAACAGTGGTTCTCACTTCTATCTATTCATCCTATACCTCCCTCCTCCCCTCCTTCTTTCTTCTTCATCTTCTCTCTCTCTCTCTCTCTCTCTTTCTCTCTTTCTTTCTTTTGATCTATCAAAGTGTCATCGAGTTCAAGAATATGATGAAAGGGGGGTAGTAGAATTGACACAAAGGCTTGAATTTTATTTGTTTGAACGGGATTAAGTAAATACGAATATCAATGGGACGTATTAATATGAACAATGTAATCTTCCATTTGGATTCAAGGATAGGCTAAATAGAAAGCACAACGGTTAGAATAGGTGACCCGCACAAATACATCATAACCTGGCATAGTCGACGATGAGACCGGATGGTAATTTCGAGCCGTTCATTCATTTAAATACCACCGTGGCGGCCGATAATAATTGTAAGCTATCGCTGATATACGCGTTCGTTCATTGTCGTTCCATTTGACACGGTATTGCATTCTCTCGATCGTCAAGAGGAAAATTCTCTTAATCACAAAATTATAATGTTATAATTATCTCCAATACGAGATAATTATAATATATTATCCGCGATAATGATAGATAGATAGAGAGAGAGAGAGAGAGTGGGTGATAGGGGAAGAGGAGTTTTCTTCCTTCAATGTTGAATATTGGAAACAAATTACTCCTAATTAAAAAATTCAATAACATTTATCATTTTCTACAATAAAAGATAAATACATGGATTTATATAATATTGTTTAGTAATTTATAATTAATAATTGTATATATATACACAGAATTCGTTTGGTTTCAATTATTCCGTTGCTAAATTGAAATTTCATTTTTCGTTAATTTATTTTTTCCTTAAATTTCATTTTTTGTAAAGATAAATCTTTTAATTTTCTTATACATAACTTTTAATTAATATTGAAATGAATTTTCGGCGGCAATGTATACAGGCGGTGCGAAATGTATGTTGACACGCTTCAAAAATATTTATTTCTTATGAAAAACAATCTGTTTATATCTTTTGTCTATTTCTTGTTCGCGTATTTGTCTATTATTTATTTCTTCGTGTCTCAACGTGTTTAGTTTGAATCTGACGGTCGTAGGAGGCAGACATATAACTGTAAGTACGTTTAAGAAGTTCGCGCAGTATGTAAGTTGACAAATACTTATTTTTATTAATATATTTTCATAATATATATATATATATATATATATATACCGTATGTATTTTCCGATAAAGAGAAAGTTTATTTTTTTTTCAATGTTTTGTACGCGTCATCGTTAAAAATAGTTAACTTTGTTATCGTTGGTTCTTCGATATGATTTGAGAAATATCGAAGACAAGTTAGCAGAAGGAGAAGACCTTCGATCTTTCGCAAAGTACACGTTGCATTCGCTTCCGTTCAATGATTTCAAACCGACGTAATCTTTCTCGAGGTTGAAGACAAGTTTCTGTTAGTGAAAGAGATCCCGAGATAGAAAGATATTCAATCTACCTGTTCAATTTTTATTAAGTTATCATTAATATTATATGAATATATTACACATTTAATTCTTTTTTTTTTTACTAAATTATTTTATTTTTAAGATTCGCTATTTTTTATCAGTTAATTGTGATGACCTATTTCAAAAGTGTGTATTCAAATTATGTCGCAAAAATGAAACGATAATACAAAATTATTGTATTTTTTCAGTGAGGTGTATACTTGTCAATCACAGTTAACTGGTTAAACTATAACGATGTCCAACAATGTCCCTTCAACTCAAACCCTATTTAATCAATTCCACGTTAAAATTGGATACTTCCAAGATAAACCCTGGACTCGAACTTCAATCTTTCATTTCTGTTGAGTGATTACTCACGATTATTAATCTATTCAGATATCTCGTTAAATATCAATCTTTCCCGATGAATATCCATCTAAAATTTGAAATTGAAATTGTAAGAAATCTTGTCCATTTACACGTCAGATCATTTTTACAATGTAACTTTTGTTAATTACATTATTATACAATAATAATAATAATAATACAATTTCAAATCGAATCGTGTGCATTATTGAATTATAATAAAGATAGATAATTAAGGAAAAGAAACATATAAAAAAAGAAAAAAAAAAAAGAAATGGAAGATATTAGTTTTCGTGAAGTTTTCTTTCGTTGATCTTTTAACAATCGTTGATCGGCAAAAGCAGGAAACTCGATCGATTGAGCACCCCTGACCGCACCTGAATAGATACATTGTGCCGGGGCTGCCTATTGACGGGCAATTGTTCTCTCAACAATAACAACAATATCTGAATAGTCGTCGTGCACATCTCTCGCGCACTGTGCACGCACCTATGCGCTCGCGTTCACGCGTTTTCGAACGCACGCGTGTATATCCTCCTCCTCTGCGTTTGTGTACGATCATCTCTCTCTCTCTCTCTTTCTCTTTCTATCTATCTATCTATCTATCTATCTATCTATCTCTATCTTTTCAATAAAGTCCCTTTCACATCGAAGGGACATGCCTAAACTGTTATCGAATGCAACTGAATGTATATGCAAGTATTTGTGATTTTTTTTCCCCTGACAAACATCTTTGATGTTCGTATGCACGTGTCAATGTACGTTCTCGTTAATTGTCTCTTCTTAGATAATTGAATCAAATCTTAGAGAAATTTTTTTGTAACTATTTAAACTTCATGTTTATATATATATAATTGGTGATAGAGATAATGTGATATTTTCATGAATGAATATTCTATTGGGGTTTAACAATAATTATTAGTATTATTTATTACATTATACTGTCATCGACTATAGTCACATTAAACTTTGATATACATTGTCGTTAATATATATATATATTAGATATTATAGAATATAAACATAAGTACATATAATAAACTTGTTTTCTAACATGCATAGAATACGTAATATGTACGTCCTACGCGTTGGTATAAATTTATGCGTATAAAGAAACATTCAATAACTAATTAAATTGACTTATTAAATCTCATACGGTTTTGGGGGGGGGGAGGTATCTGTTAGATCGTAATTATTGCCGATATAATATGAGGAAAGGAAAAATAAAATGTTCTTTGAAAAAGTGAATAGTCCAAATACTATGTATAGATATTGTAAAAAATGCAGTAGTGCATGGATTGATTTACCGCGTGATCAAAAGAAGAAAAAAAATATGTATATATTAAAAAATATAAATTTATACCCACGCGATCAAATTAAATGTAATTGTAATCAAAAAATAGGCTTCTTAGTTAAACTTCCAATGAAGTTTCTATTACAATTGACCCTGGGACATTTACAATATTTTTTTTAATTACGATTTATTATAAAACGTATTGACAATATAGTAATGACTAATGTAGTATGCACCAATAAGTGTATCGATATTTCCAATAAGTATGTTTCATCTTGATCAATTTAAATATGTAATATAATAATCTTGATTTATAGCATTTAATTGTTCGAAATATTTAATACGTTGTTGAAATATTTCAGATATCAACGTTATACAACTGTTTTCGTTCAAATTCGTTCACACACATGCGTGTTTTAATATTAATATAAATTATTTCATTCTACAGAGTGAAATCAAAAGGCTAATAATAGATTAATAATAATAAACGATATTTTGCAAATTACCCTTTTAAATAGGTTGATTTGAAAAAATATATTAGCCTAATGTATTATATGAAAAAGAATAAATTTATTATTGAAAGTACTTAAATACTTTTTAGACTCATCTAAGAAAATTTGATTCATCAAAAAATCTTTTGATTTATCGAAGAACATTCTAACCACTCTGTAAAAAATATTGTAACTAATTAGGAAGATATCTTTTGTTAAAAAGATATAAGGGGATGCATTCATAATTCACACCATCATTCGAACATATAAACTAACAAAACCTATTTTTCTTTTTCTCATGCTTTCAATCTTCTTTTCTCTCTCAGTCCTTAATTTATTACAATTAACAATAAGACTAACAATATTTTGTAGGCTTTACAACATAGCTGCTACCAAACAGATTTAAAACGTTCACGATGAGTTGAACCATCGGGTGGTACATTCATGGTAAAGAAATTCAGACCCCATCGTGAACATGTTAAATATTGTAAATTTATTTATTTTTTTTCTCTTTTTTGGGGAATTTTTTACTGATTTAATCTCTCCGATATATTTATATTAACTTACAGTAGATTAATTCTTGACTAAAACTACGTAGCTGCTAAGAAAAAATTGTACACGTTGTTTAAATTAAATGTAACTGTTAAAAACAGTTTGAAATGTTGACAATCAATGTTTCGAAAAACTGTAATATAATTTAATTTTTTTTTTTGTCTTATTAATTAAGACATATACTCTATCATTATCTTCTCACTGTATTTTTTATTTAAAAATTTACATCATAACTAAAACAAGATCTTTTTGTTTAAATCTTTACTATGTTGCCACTCACAAGTAAGCAGCCTTGAATATTATAAACAAATTCCTTGAAAGATCTGTCAGTAATCGTGTGATCTTATAGACATTAAATCTATTCTATAATTCTAACAGAGTTTATGCTTTACACAGTGGTTGTTAACAAACAGTTTTTAATACTGAAAATTTATTATAGCATACATTATTATTACTGTTCCGTTAAAACTATAATTTAAAAAAAAAAAAGGAAAAATGTCTATATAAAATTGATAAGTTTTTTGAGTTTACATCGTAGTCGTTAAAAAATCGGGTTACGTTGTAAGTACAAAGAAACCTTTTGGTTAGCATCGAAGATTGTTTTAGTTATTTAGTTTTTTTTTAAACTAAAACGATGAGTCTTAACATACAGTTTTAATTTTTTTTTTTTTATCGTTATCAATAACAAAACTTTTACATTATCTTAGTTAAATAATGCCGTAACTTATTACAATCTTATAATATATCGTTAATTTCAATTCAATAATAATGTATTGAGATTTGCATGATTCATACGATCAGTATACTGTCCAATCGCACATCTCTCAATTTTCATCCGACAATTGTTGAAAAGCTACATTGCGAATCATGGTTTCACTTATTGTATTATATAAAAAAAAAATATGCATATATCGTACATGTTTTCTATTTTAATTATTTTATCTATATATATATATATATATATATACGTATATATATATAAATATATATATATATATATATATTTATACAAATAGCAGGGTTTATCAAGGGTTTCTGTATAGGCCAAAAGTTCTTAAACATTTACACGATTTAATTATTCATTCTCGAGTCTCTTCGTGATAAGTTATTTTTAGTTTGAAATTTTTATTCGACATTTTATATTTATTGATCATTTTATTGTTTTATTTCTCTTTCATTTGATTTTGTTCTTTCTCATTTTAATTGTTGTAATTTTTTTTTTGGACTTATTTGTATTTATTTCAGATTTTTCTATTATTTCTTTTCCCCTTCCAATTCATTAATTTTTCAATCCGAGATGAGAATGAGCAATTAATTTTAAAAATATTTCAGGTGTTCTTAACCAACATTCAAAAACTCTTACAATTAGAGCATTCTGTACAATTTTTTTCAACATATTCAAATTAATTAATTATTTTATTTATATATTAATACTTGTTATCATATAT